CAAAAAAAAGCAGGAAATATAATGCCATTTCAGAAGGTTCAATTTTCAATATTCAACGATGCATTCACATTGCATAACATACGCCAAAAGAAATTACTATAAAAACTGAAATAACACAAATAACAAATGACGACGGTATGAGATCTTTGACCTCTTGTTATCAATGCAAACATCCGATCTCTCATCATAAAACTCCTATCCGACCTCTGCTCTCAATCCCAGGCTCCTCACTGAAACAATTGATTTCCCTCGCGTCGTTCCCAGGGCACTCATCACACTTCTGATCCAGTAAAACAGTAGTATAGATTTATACTTACATTTCGCGACCCAAAAGTATTCTTCAATCTTTGTGTACATTTGATGAAAGCTCCTTTTCTTTTAAATATATCAATGAATTGGGTTGCTAAAACGTTTAAATTTCATTGTTTGAATTATAGGCCAGCATGGTATGTTGACGTCATATCTCTTATAGTAGCTTTAACTCAAACTTAAAATCGGGCAAGGTACGCCGAAGCGACGCCGTAATCTCAGCGGTCCAAGTCGTAACCTAACCGCCGGGTCCCGCCAGGCGGCGCGGCCGCACAGGCGCCTGTCCAAGATTATATGACTTCGCGAGCGCTGATCTGCGCTGATGTTCTCCACATAGCTCTATCATCAGTCAGTCGTGGTGACCATACACGGGTCTGCGCATCAACCAGGGGCGAACCCACCATACCAGACATGGGCGTACCAGCCTGGGACCCGCCAGAATCGCCCCTGGACCCCGCCAGGGACCCTGTAACTGCCCGGCCGGAATGCAAGAGCCGGTCGGCATCCCGAACGGGTCAAGACGGGAGACTGCCCTGGCACCGGCCGTCATCATCATGCCTCCGGATTAGTTTATACTAATCCGGTGAGGTACACTTGATAAAGTTACTCCAGTATGTCCTATCTCTCATAGCGGACACTAATGCAGTCCCTGCGAGACCAGTGTCTCTCTCTAGCTTGGACGAAAGTGTAGTATAAAGCCGTCCCACTCTACGTCTCCCAGTAGGGAGCCACTGTACTAGTCTACCAGCTTATTCGTTACTACGAACAACATGCCCTGCCAGGGCGAGTCTACGTCGTCGGACTACAGATGAAATGGGCGGGAGAGAGCCATAGAGTTGTTTGTTTGTTAGATGTTGTCTCCATGATACATTATACACTGTTCTTAACATTCTTGTATATGTACCATCTAGTTTCTTGCTCTGGGCAGCATTCATAGCCCATGACTCAGAGCTGTAGAGTAGAATAGCCTCTGTACATGCTTTAAACACTTTAATTTTTGTCTGTTTCTTGATTGGAGCTTTCCATACCTTCTGTAGGGAGTGGAGGGAGCTCCAAGCAAGAGCAATCCTATACTCTATGTCTCTCTCTGAATTGTTATAGCCCCCTAGATACTTGAAGTCTGACTCTAGCTCGATTTCAGAGCCATCAGATGCAGTTAGTTGCTGGGACAATTTTGGGTTCAAATGCATATACTTTGTTTGTGGACCGGCCGTCAAAGGGACCAAAAGTTTGTGAATTTTAGATAGAAGCAGCCTCAGCGCCCCGACAGGGAGACTTAAAGGAACTTTTAATTGTGACCCTGACAGCCGGCGCACGCTCGGCTTCATGCGTCTACACCGATAACATGTCGAGCGGGCCCCGTTTCACATGTGACCTGGAGCTCCAGCTTAAGGTACAATCGGCCTTGGTGCTCCGCATCATTTGTACTAATGACATCGCCTTGCCAAGACTCATTAGTGAGGACAATTGTCTGAATTATCTTAATTCCAGTCAACATACCAGACATCAGAAGATCGTCAGACAGCGCCTGTTTACAAATGTGACCTCTGTCACCAGGAAATAAGATTGTAGTCTTTCCTTCTCAGTGGCGCCACTTTTTTGAAAAGACGATTGATTTATGGCAGGCTGTATGTGGACCGTGTGTTGTGTGTCTCCAATACCGGTGTGTATACTGATTTGTATGAACAACTATCATATATTGAAAAGAGGTGCTAGTGTCACGGAAAACGGAAAAGAAATCTATACTCCCAACCACCATTTGGCAGTGTTCGGGAAGCCCTAGCTATCCGGCCATGTTTGACAGGAGCTTAACAGCTCGTCTTACAAAACAATTGTATTGGCAATTCTAATTGGCAAGGAAAGAGACAATTGCGTAGACTTTATTATGGGTTCACCACACCACGAAGTGGTGGTGAACCCATATTGCTTTTTCTGATGTTTCTTCTCCTCCTCCTCCTCCTCCTGCCACTTCTTTAAATTGATTCAACTCCTTCATTTTTGGGCGAAATTACCTGTAATTTCGTATAGAGGTAGAGTGGGTAAATACCCTTAGGCGTTTTTAAAATTTTTTTGATACAAGCTTTTACAATCGTTTTATTTGCTTTTTAGTGGTCCCCATAGGAAAGTACTGTGGGGGCGTACGCGCGTGACGTAATAAGAAAGGAATTCGGGGGAAGGCCCAAATATGGGCATACAAGCAGGTGTGGTCATGTTTGCAGATGTGGCTGTTGATTGGCTGTTGGCTAATTAATTTATTTACTACCACTTCACGTACCAGCGCAGCTGGTCCACGCGGTCTCGGCCGTGGGCCATGATACTCTGATATTGGATACCGATTCGTGTGATTCCTATAAACATTTCACCTAACTACGAACTAGTTGGAAGAATTATAGCTGCATGGATGCCTGTATATGATTTTAACAAACACTGAAAATCTGACGCAAAAACTGGCAGATATTTTGCTCTTCTCTGTTGGAACAACGCAAGCGGGAGGTCA